CCCTTGAGCCAAGAGCCTTTCCTTCAAGCACATCTTTGAGATTCCTGATAGGTCTCCTCCGCTCCTGTTGGGAGGAAGAAAAGAAGGAATTGGGAAGCCTAGGGTTTTCTCCAGGACTGTGGGGTAATTATGCAGCCAGGTCCTCTCACGCGGCTGAGGTGGGGTGCTCCACGAGCCAGGTGTTCTGTGAGACCCTCAGTGTGTCAGTGCAACGACTAAAGTGTCAGAAATCAGAGCACAGTGCTAATAGAAAGCAGGTGGTAGTTTTGCTAAAAGCAATGATTCCATCACTCTGCTCTGGGTGTTGCCTTCGGCATTGTTTGCTAAGGGTTGGATTCTGGTAACTAAAACTCCCGATCCAAGCTAGAAGCTGGTATAAAGAGAGAATAGTAGCTGGTTCTCCCACCAGTAGGAAAGGAGGTGAGCTCTTTTCCCTCCTCCCAAGGAAAGAAGAGGTCACGGGAACTTCTTGTCCCTCCTCCTTCCAAAACCACTTCTCAGCTGCCTGCCTTTTTCCGGAAAAACACAGCTTCCAAGGCCCTTGAGTAACAGATTCAAGACCTTCAAAGAGGCCCTCAGGGCAGTTTCCCTGCTCTTCATTTTATTTTTCCCTTTCAAGGCTTTGGTTGTACAAAATAATTACAACGACCCTTAATATGTGCTACTTACCATTTATGCCTTGTTACCATGATGCACAATAATTATGGCTATCATTATATATATGTCTAACTTTATTATAGGTGTTATTTGAATGGAATTCTAAACTCTGTTCGCACATACTCCTACTTCATAACTTATTGCTCAAGTGGTGTAATCATTCACTCACAACTTTAAAAATATTAGGAGAACCATTAATTAAGAGGTCAGGTTCTAGTCCCAACTCTGATTATAATTAGCTGTGTGATTTTGGGCAATTCCCTTTGTCCATTTGGGTCTTGGTTTTCTCCAACATAAAATGATGTAATGGAACTAAAAAGCTCTCTAATTCACCATCCACCTCTAAAATTCTGCAATGTTGGGATTACACTGATATCAAACATTCTTTAACATTATTAAGGAGACTTTATCTTCAAGGAGACTTACACAACCTCAAAAAGTATTATAAAAGCTGCCTATGTTGTGAAAGCCTGCCATTCACTGGGCATCATATCTGTCCTAAGTGCTATTTCAGGCATTTCGCAAACGTGGTCTCATTTAACCTTCTTAACAAACTTACTATTACTCTGATTTTAGAGATAAGGAAACAAGTTCAGTCTCTCCAAGTCAGCAGAGCTGGAATTCAAATAACTGAACTCTGACTCTGAAGCCTGTGTTCTTCGAGTCACATTGCGATGCCTCCAAAATAATTTTGCATAATGTAAATGAGGCATGAGATTGGTTTGAATCTTTCCCAAATTTGAAATACACCTGGAGATTTGTGTGTGTGTGTGTGTTTTTCCTCCTATCCCTTCTCCTTTCTTCCCCTCCTTCTTAGTCAGCTAAAATTTCCTGTAAATTAACTTTTTTTAATTATCTGTTTCTTTCCCATAAAATAAAAACTTGAGTGGCTACAAATATTTCTGTTACTGGAATTCATTGGCTGTTGAATATTTGATAAATTCAAATTTACTGATTTATCCTAAAAGTCAACAATCACACAGAAAATGTCCTAGAATGATTTATATGCAGAGAAAGGCTCTGGAACTACATAGGTGAAGTTTAACTATCAGCTCTGCTGGTGAAGAGTTCGGTGACTTGAGGTGGGTTACTAAACGTCACTGGTTATGAGTTTACTCATCTGTTAAAAAGATGCAATAATGCCTGCCTCACAAGGTAATACTAAGGACTGAGGCTGCTAATGTAAGTGAAGACAGCTACAACAGTAAGAATGAATGCTGATTAAGGACCAGGTATTGTGCTAAATATTTTATTGTATTATTTAATTAATCCTCACAACTGCATATGAACCGAGTCCTGTAATTATTCCCATTTTACAAATGACAAAACTAAGATACTGCAAGATTAAGTAATTTGCCCAAGTCATGTAGGTAGAGAATAGCAGGGTCCAGATTTCAATCTATCTTCAGGGCCTAGACTCAAAATAAGTTGCTTGAACTAGAAGAGAAAGCTGATAAAGGTATATTTTTTTCACCCTTATAAGTGTTCAAAGAGATTTATAATAAGAAACTGATCAACACATTATTTGATAAAGTGAATTTAATTTTTCAAAAGTCCTAAATTTCATAGAGAATATTGTATCTGAATGTTGGAAAGTATAGAATGACCTACTTTAAGCAAAGAAGCTTTAAATAAGGTCTGTTTTAAATAGCACACCCTAGAGTACTCACCACAAAAATTGCCAACCATTTATCAAGTGAGCTGGCAGTGTGTGTGTGTGTGTGTGTGTGAGTGTGTGTGTGTGAGAGAGAGAGAGAGAGATGGTATTTCACCCACTGACTTTTTTCTTCTGACATTTGGTAAATAGACTTTTGTTATTGCCTTTGATACCAAATAATTTAGTCTTGACTCTTAAGCTTGAACACAGAATCAAGATCAGTCACATTTTAGGGGAAAATATTTAGGCATCTGAGATCCTTATTAGATTTCTAATTTTATAACTTGATTTTTATCAAATGATACAAATCCCACAAAAGCAAGGAAAGAACGGAGGAAGGGAGGGGGGAGGAAGGAA